ATAATACATTATATGAAACTAATTATTATGAAACTAAATTTCAATTTTAAGTTGATTTTGATACTCATACAGGGTACAACTCATATACATGAAAAACTATTCACTGATTGTCTAATACTTTTAATCACATTCTTGATTCACTTCACAAATATTTACTCATACAGTCTTCAGAACAATTCCACCAGCATTACTGTAATAGGGAAATTCCTAAACAGAATCCTTGTGGACTATAGCAATTGAGGAATTTAAGTTATTTGTCTGAATTCACATGAGAAAAATGTGATAGATCTAGAAACGATAGAAGTTTTTAGATCACCAATGTTCCAATTTCATGAGAAATTCCCATACCAAACAACATTCCTATCTCTAGTTCTAAGGTACGCATGTAGATCACTAAATCATTTCATCTTTGTAATCATTCATATTAAGGGATTCATAATTTCCATGATTTAATTTTTTAATGCTGTTTTCTTTCAAAAAGAAATTGTAGACATGTGTACTGCTCAGTAGTTGTGAGGTAACACCAGCATTAGACTTCTTTTAAGTTTGCTTGTTTTTATTTTGGTTTTCTGTTTGAAAATGAACTTTGATTTTAATTTTTATATTCATTATTTGATTGTGAAAGATTGTCTATGACTTTTTCATCTTGTTTTGTAAATCACTTTGGGCTCCTCTAACAGGAGCACAGTACAGAATCATAAGGAAGGAAGGAAATGTATCAAGGATCCAAAAAGGATATAAACTATTATATGTAACTATAAATATCTGAACTGAAATATCAGATACCTCTTGTTTACTATAAAAACTAAATCAAATGTAACCACAATATTTCATCGTATTTAATCTTACTAAAGAAAACTTAGTAGAGAGAAAAATTTACACCACTGAACTGGGGCATGTTGAGGCAATTCCAATGTTCTATGGTGGCTACATTGCATACAATTCAAGAAAGCTAATAGCTTTCTTTTATCAAACCTGACAGTACTCCAGTAAGTGGCAAGTCAACCTACTGAGGGTTAATTTGAAATGAAAACATTCCATTTTTTATCCTAGTATGAGCAATGGGCTATGGTTTCCAGTTTCATAAAGCACAAGAAAAAAGAAAGTATGAACTCTAGAGAACTGAATTGAAAATTGAAAAAGCAATTTTTACATTTTGCTTGCTTAGATTCCAAATATATTTGTAAAAGCAAATTTTCTTTGAGGAATTCTACAATTAGAGATTTCCCAAAACTAAATATGCTTCACTGATCTATTATAGCTGCTGAAAATATATCATTCTTACTGGTCTCTTTTATTTCTTTCCACAATCAAATGGCAATCTTGAGTGCTTTAGTTCAGAGAAAAATAAAAGTAACACCCTACAATCCTGATTTAAAACTGTGTGAACTGACTTTGTTACAGGCAAACTGGTATTCTTCAAGATATAAATAAACGTCGAAAAATGGCACCTAAAAGGCAAATTTAAAAACCAATGGGCTATCTCCATTTACGACTTATTTAGTTATATGCATTTATTTATACAGCAGGTAGAGCATTGTGCAATGATATAAAATTTGTAACCATTAATTTTCATTATATATGCTTGTGTAATATGTCTGGCAGAAATGCTACATGAATATTAATAAAAAGGCAAAGATACCTGCATGATATCCTTGTTTTCAATTTCTCTGTCTAAAGCAAAACAGACATAGCATCAAACAACATGAATCAACTCTATAATGAATAGATTTGGAAGAATCATATGAACATCAAATTCCAACAGCTACACTACATAAAAGTTTTAAGATGTGAGAATGGGCTAGATTTTAGCTAATTTAGGTAACAGATCTTGACAACAAGCATTTCAGTGATGGAAGGCTTATTAAATAGATATACTTGCAATTGCTTCCCTGAACACCTATATGATGTCATTTCACTTAAATCTCCAAATCCTTTCTTAAAACGCATATATTTTCATGAAAACCTTAGTATAACTTTCTGCTGTTCATGCCACATTATTAGTCAACCTGTAGCTAAGCTCATCATTTCACTATTTACATCTGTCTCCACTTTTGTTGATTTCCATGTTAAATTTTAGATTATAAGCTCCTGAGGCAGAGACCTTCCCACTTATATTCAGTGTGCGACATGTATACTGATGGCGCCATATAAATAATAGATGATATGTCAGCTCCTCACCCAAATCAAGCCAATCATATTATTCAAAAGAGAAAATAAGAAAAATGCAGTTGTTTTAGAGGTTTAGTATTATTATGGAGCACATTAATTTTGAAGCATGGAAAAGCAAAGTGCTTAGAATCCTGGCATTCTGGTTAAATTCTTGAGCAATCTCAAGACAGACAATCTTCATTTAATAATTAGTGTGAGCAGGCTGTGGTACAATCTTCCACAAATATGTAAACAAAATTTCATTTATTTTCAGCCACAGGAGGTGACAGTCTGATTTCTTTTTTGGAGTTATACAAAGGAATGATTTTATTTTCTCTTTCGTACAGAGCTCCACTTTAGATGTTTGTTGATTCAATATTCCAGAATAAAGTTTTAAATAAAGCACAAGTTATGTCCTATTCTACTCCTTCTGTATGGCTGATAATTTAAGGCACTCTTCTTATATTTAAATTGTTAGTTCCTGAAGTACTTAAAAGTTAGTTTTTAAACACCATTTAATACCAGAGATTTACAAAGCAAAGAATAGTGGTTCATGGATATTCCATATACATTTAAATTGGGCCTTTTTCATCAGTTTCACTTCAGAAGTTATGAGGTAGCCACAAAGGATCTGTCAAAACAATAACAAGATTCAGATTTACCAGCTATGTTAATTATTTCTAATTGTAAGGTAAATTTGTTTTACAGGGATTTGCCCATTCATGTAGGTTCGGTTAGTTAGAACTGATAGAGATGTTGTATTTTTATGATTTATATCCCTATAGTTCTTACTAAAGACTGGTTAAACATCCTGTTAGAAAAGCAGATCAAATTGTCTGACTTTGCAGTCATAAATTGTTTTACAATAATTCAAAAATTATTGAATTCACAAAACCTGCTAGTGCAAAGGAAGCTACTCCCTGAAGTCTTAAAGCTTTAACACTTGGAGGACTCATGAAACTGCTTCAAAGGTTTTAACCAACTGTCTACTTGTTTGTGTGTTTATGCACAGTCACTTCACTATGCAGGCAATTTCAGCAGAAGGGTTGTCTGGGTGTGCAAATACAGACAAGGGTCAGTATTTGAAACAGTTGCACAAGCCTTCCAAAGGATGTAGCTGTTTAACACTTCAAGAACAGGGGTGGGAGGACGCTTCTTCCCTTATCTTTTGCCAGCTCTATAAAATAATTACAAATATGATACGTTTTTCTTCTATACATTTAATTTTAATATGCTGAGCTCTAACTTCATAACTATTCTTATTTACAGAATGGCAGATTTATCCTCTAGAGGGGCAGTTCTTATATCGATACTGAATGCTGCTTTTTGAATATTGTCAAAGTTCATGCATTTAGCTTTTAAATTTGCATCTTAGTATGCTGTTTATGACCTAGTTTTTTCCTAAAGTTTGAACAAAGTTTGAAGGATTTTTTTTTTTTTGAATTTGTTAACATTAGGTGTATTATGTTTTGAAAACTTCTTTGTAACCTTGAACATGGTTTGGAATGTAAAATACAATTAAGGATTTCTTAATTAAAAGATGAAAAATTGTTCATGGCACATCATAGCCCATATAAAGAATGAATTGGCATACTCCAGAGATTAAATTATTTACTCCAATTGTTGCATTACTGATCAGAAAGTCAGTAATTTTGAATAAAAATTAACAAGAATGTGTTATGATGTTAGTAGTACAATAAAACTCTACAGTTCAGGCCGAATTATTGGGAATTTCAGTCATGAATGATAATTTAAGACTGAAAAACAAAAGTACATATATTTAGTTGAATATATCAATTTCTATTGAAAACAACTATATTAATAAAGATTAAAAATATAACAAAGTTTCTCTGGACACTAATTTTAAAAGATATCATTAATAGAGATGAGGGAAAGAGAATAATAAAAGACCAAAAAAGCAAAGGGTTCAAAATTATAGTATCTGTTCAAAATGATAAAAAAAGGGCGTAAAACGTAACAGTGTAGATTGAGAAATAAATCCTAAATAAAGTTCTCTTTTTCTTTAGCACAAAAATAATCCCCTTTTCTTGTGTCTGTTAACTGTCACTGATATGGAGTTAATAGAATTTAGATTTAAAAGAATCGTGTTAAACAAATAGTGTGTCAAACTATTAAAACCATATCTAATTTAACTTTCTATACAGTTCATAAAGATATAGAAGCATATCAAAAAGAATTATGTTTTATTTAAAAAAGAAACATAGGTCTAGAGCTATACCCTGTCTCACTCTCAAATATATATTCTATGAACATATTCAGGAATATTAAGGAAGTATTCAGATTTCAGTTATATGAAATATACGGATGGTGCTTTTTACTTAATATTTACATGACAAAAATCCCTTTCATTTTTAGAAATGTTACATAAATTGTATGAGCACTGAGCAGCTGCTGTTTGTAGATAATTTCTGGAAAAAAAACAGTACTTACACCTTGATTGCTAACATAATTTTTTAGAATAGTGTGCCACTTCAAAGATGAAATGGTATTCCAGTATACCCAAGGAAGCTCATGTAGAATCTGATGGCAGTAACTTAAAGTCCCTGTATCTTCTTCTGAGATTGTGTAATTGCAGTGCAATGCCAGAAGAGACATGTTGACAAGAGAAGCTGCAAAGGCACTTTGAATTACTTTTTTGCCTTCAAATGTAAAATGCTGCATAGCCTTCTTCAAAGCCAGGTTCCAATTTTGACTTAAAGAGAACAATAACTCATTTGCTTTTCCTTTAATGTCGGCTTCTCTAAATAAATGCTTCCAAGATACGCTGGATTACCACCTCAGTAATTTCCGGGTTGAATGAATGGAAAAAACTGACACAACAGGAAGTACAATCTGAGCACCTACTAGGCAGAAACAAAGATTTTAGCTATATCTGCCCCTGCTCTTTGTCTGCTTATTCACTTTATCTTCATTAAGATTCTTTAGGTCTATTGAAAATGGTGAAGGATATAGACCAGACTGTTTCCTTCAGCAAAAGGAATACCATCTGGAATTTTTCCCAAGGAGAATCATGCTGATCTCCTCAGCTGAAGGTACAGCTTCTTCAATTAAATGTTTCACCGTGTAGATGTTTCACACCGCATGTTACCTTGTTTAAATACCTCCTAGTATTTATTTATTTATTTTTGAGTAAAGTTTCAGGCTTTAAAATGGTTATTTAGGAAAGTGGTTTAAAAGATAGCATTACCCTATCACACATACCCGCTCAAAGATTCCTACTGTTATTATTTGCAAACATTCAGGACAGACATAATAGAAAACCAGTTTGGTCTAGTAGTTAAGCCACACTAGAAACCAGAAGATTGTGAGTTCTAGTCCTGCCTAAAAGTCAGTTGGATAACCTTGGGCCAGTCTCTCTCAGCCCAATCTAGCTCACAGGGTTGTTGTTCTTGGGAAAACAGGAGGAAGAAGATAAGTTGGGTATGTTCACTGCCTTGAGTTACCTACAAAAAATAATAAAGGCAGGATAAAAAAAATCTAAAAAAATAAAGATGGGATATGAATTTAGCAAATGTATACATAAACAGCACAAACTAACACTCACAGATGGAAATTGGTTGGCTAATTTTTAATCAGATATTTATAATGCATAAACACAATTACTGAGGGAAAAAGACTATTATTTCAGAGATTCTAAATAGAAGGAAAATCTCTATACACACTTAACACGCAAATTCTGGAGACAGAGGCAGAGAGAGCCAAGAGCATGCCTCTTCTCATCAATAGATTCATGTTGTTCTTATGCAGTTTTACCTTTACAAGGCATGGTTTCTACTAGTTGTACCTATTAAGCAATATAACTTGATTAACTTTTATGCTATGATTGAATTTTATTTTATTCTACTCCTGCTGAAGATTTAGGTGAGAAAAAACTCCAGGTATATTGTACAAAAGTTCCGCAGGTTTTAGACACATCTTCATAGCAGCATTCTGCTGTTCTGACAATAGCCTCTTCACAATTTCTAAGCAAAAGGAGTCCTATGACATACTTTGAACATAATACTAATGCAGCTTGAAAAAAAAGAATTTTTTAGAGATATTAATCTCACCTCAAAAATACCATATTCAGAGGGTCTAATACTCAGCATTGTACCACTGAGATGATTGTATTTTCCCATTTATTCATTGGAATGGACTAACTAATAATTGTTAAATGTAAAAACTATTGCTTTCACAGATACTTTTGTATTATACTCTATGGAAAAGATTTGAAGGGAACGGCTCAAATCTATCTGCATATTAAGATGCCAGCATTTACATCATCTGTGTTTAACAGCACAGTAAATATATTATGCAAAGACATTGGAATTCTAACAAATTTTAACAGTTTTAAAAAATCAAGGGCGAATATAGTCAGAAAAATAATATAGTCAGAAAAATGAAGTCAGAAAAATCCAATACACATTTAAAATGATTTTCAGGGTCCTGGTCATTATTGCTTCCCTTAGTTTTTTAAAAGTTATTACCACCTGCTTGAACTATTAAAAATAACTTAATGAAATAATTTACAAAAAAACTCAAAATGTTGCCATAAGAAAGTACAATAAATTATTCAAATGACAATGACTATTGCATGTTTTTTGCTTACAAATTAATTAAAATGTGTATTCTCCATTAAAAATGAATTTCAAAATACTTAATTTGTTCTACAGATAATTGTTTATAAAAAACGAAACTGTACTCAGGGCCTCAAATTCTACCCTTTCTCTCAGATTTTAGGTTTAAAAATGTAATGAAACATAAAAAACTTTACTGACAAACATTAATATGAATATTTTTCAAACATTTAATATCACAAATACAATAATGATAAATTCAGAAATGTAAAAAAACCCACAAAAAACTGCCTAACAAATCTGCACAAAAATATTGATAGAAAATTTATAAAACAGAACAGGGTATTTCCTATATCTAAGGACCATAAATATATCTACCTGATGGTCCTTCTTATGATATAAAAATTTTATCATCTAGTTTTCATACATTCCAGATTGCAAAGCTTATAGCAACAAACTACAGTAAACTACAGTAAACTTCTACAGTAGAAGTTTAAATATATGTATCTCTATTTTATATAAAATGTTGCTAGGAGAATAAAAACAGATGCATTTTCAGATAAAAATCTTTTTGATTCACTACAAAACCATTTTTACAACTATAAAAGCAGAAGGGTAGTGATTTCTTTAAAACAGTTGTTTTGTTTTTAATTCTATTATATAAATTAAGATACATTCAAATTGAAATATGCAATTTTATGCAATTCTTCCCAAAAACCTTTGAAAAACTCTGCAAAAAGAGGAAACATAGAAAAAGCCACACAACATGGATACATGAAAACTATTTCTTAGCTACAGTCTTTTAAATCTATTTGAATTGTACATACTCTCATGCTTTATCTCTCTCAGGCATACTGGGTGGTCCCCAAGTGTTTTAATGATTTCTCTTTTTATTGGTACTGTATTATTACAGAAATTTTTTTTGTCTCAGATTCTTACATGTATTTAATAACTTTATTAAAGTACTTCAGCACCTCTCACCAGCTTATATACTATTATTCAAACATATACCTTCTGCAGTAGTCTAAAAACAAACAATTATACAACTACTTCAGCTTTTCTATACAGCTATATCACTGAAATGAAGAGAAATTTCAAATTATGAGAAGGTCAGGGCTTGGTTTTCATGTTTTGATTCAAAAAATCAATTTCAGATTGATTTTTGTCTATATATCATTATTGTCAGAGGATTAATTGATGAATTTTTCATTTGATGAGCTGGATAGAGTAAGCTTCAAGGCACACAGTGAGAATTCTAATTTAGTGTGTTTTCTGACCAGATTAAAAAACAGTATTACATTCAATCATAATTTAATACATTATCTCAAAATAAAGAACATCTTTTTTATGGTTTACTTTTGAACTTCGTATAAAATAAACAATTTGCATAAATGACAATTTTTTGAAATCCATAATCTAAAATGTATTAATAGCATATTAATTTCAAATTCACTTTCTAATGTATTTTTGATCTTTCACTGTTACAAACTAGGCTGTAAGGAATTTAAGCAAACAATGTTTATCCTTTAATTGCCCTCACTTTACTTTCATTACTTGGAAGTATCATGCTGAGGGTGGGGGAATGTGTGATTACATTACTGTTTATTGTGACCATTGTAGAAAAGACAGATAATCAAAGAAGTCCTCTTTAAAAAATTCAGTCAGTCATAATTGATAATCAATTATCAAACTCTGGCAAAATACCTATAACTTGACAATGATGTAAAATTAATTTTAAGAGATACAATTCAAAACTTTAAAAGCACACCACCACCTTATAGCTGGAAAGCTTAGTAGCAGACTAGAATATCTAGCTGTCCTTGGATATTAAACTTCAGCTCTGGAATGTCCTTGCCCACTAAATACATAGAGACCCTTGGTTTACTAAGGTCATGGAGATAATGAAATGGGCTGACAGATGGCTAGAGTGTGGGTTGAGCACTGCGCTAGACTGCATGGTGGAACACTGCTTAGGAGCCATTAGAACATCTATGCCCGTGATGGCGAACCTATGGCACGCGTGCCAGAAGTGACACACAGAACCATCTCTCTGGGCACGCCAGCCATCGCCAGTTGCTCTTCTGGGTTCTGCCATGCACATGCATGTTGGCCAGCTGGTCTTCGCACACTCAGGAGTGCCAGAAACCAGAAGATCAGCTCCCTGGCGCGCATGCAAGGAAACTGAGTTTCCAGTTTCCGTTGAGCACATGCACACCAGCCAACTGGTCTTTGTGTGTGCATGTGTGCCAGAAACTGGAACACCAGGTGACTGGCACGCATGCACATGCTGGAAACCAAAAGCTCAGCTTCCTGGTGTGCGCATGTGTGCCAGGAAACTGCTCTTCTGGTTTCTGGTGCTTGCCCATGCGTGCACGCTCCCATTTCGGCACTCGGTGCAAAAAAGGTTCACTAACACTGATCTATGACCTTGGTAGCAGAGAATAAGACTTTTTTTCTTCCACTATCATAGTATCTACTAAAAATGGTCCAAAGGATAATAGGATAGCATGGGCCTGACCCAAGCTGTTGGGGAGGGTTTTCATGCACTCTTGAAGATATTTAGTTTTAGAAAGTTATTTATTTTGAGATAATGTAGTACATTATGACTGAGTGTAAACACTTTTTTAAAACAATCTGGCCAAAAAGGACACTAAATTAGAATTCTCAGTGTCATGAGCTTGCTCTATCTAGTTCATCAAATGAAAAAATCAACAATGAATTTTAATGGTAAACCATGACGGCTTTTCAAACTTTTTGCAGAGAGGGTCTCTCATATCCATAAACAGACTGAAGGCAGTTTTAATTACAAAGAACAAAGTAAAGATGCTAGTGCAGTCTCTAGTCTAGTCAATTTTTCACTTCTCCTTGAGAATATACATAGTTGAATGAACTTGTGCTACTATCTAGTTCTTGTTCTATTTTGACTTATACTGGAAGAAAATATCACTAAAATCTTCCTTGATTTTACTCAGGGGGTAATGCTAGGCACTTTAAAGGTGGTAATAAAAAAATATTGATTCATATAGACCGGGGTGTCAAACTCACATCATCATGGCGGACATCACGTGATGTATCAGGACTTTTTTCTCTTTTGCTAAACCAGGCATGGGCGTGGCCAGTGTGTGATGCATCTGATCAGCAGGCTGGGAGTTTGACAGCCCTGATATAGACTACCCTCTATTTTACAATTCCTAAGTTGTTCAGCTGGGTTGTGGATATGTATCTATATGTGTTCTGGAATGATACCTATTATTTAGAACAATTTCAATCTAGTTTGGGGCTTCAGACTGAGACATGGAATATGTACAAATTTGTTCACCACAATGGATGATGTGTTGATTGAGTGTGATGGACAGTATATCTTAATTTATGCTCCCAGATCTCTTATTGGCTTTTTATGCCATTGATCATGTCATCTTCCTGGGCCACATAAGAGAACTGAATATTGAAAATTTGTGGTTTTATTCCCATTTTGTTCATCAGTCTGTTTTGAAAGAACTTAGCCATCAAGTGCTCTATTCCATCTCCAAAACCTTTAATACCTATATGAAGCTACCAGGAGCTGAATGCTACCTTGATGAAGATGGTAGTCAGGTCTATTTTCCATCAATATCCAGTGCTACTATTACTTATTTTTTTAAAATATGATTTTTCCCCCAAAATAAAAATATTTAAAGAAAAAAGAAAATAAAGTAAAAATAAGTAAAATAAATATAAAATAATGACTTCCAATCTTTACAGCAGTTATAAATGCATTCATATTTTATATCTAAGGTTACATCATAGCTGTCTACTGTTGACCTCACCCCATTCCTAAGGTCTGTAAGGGGCGTGCATAAGCGCACCAACGTGCCTACGGTCCTTGCCCTACTGTCCCCATTTATTCGTATCCATTCCTGTATTCTTAATCATGTTTATACCTATATCTGTTATCTTATACATGCTTGACAAAATAAATAAAATAAATAAATAAATAAATAGCTCCCTTCTTTCCATATTCTATCCTTTCTAATCATAAAACCGATAAATCATAGGTTCATTTTTTATTTTATTTTTTACTTTCTCAGCTATAAAGGGCTAGGGTCACTAAAAAATGTTGTTCTTTTCTCTAATCAAGCAAGTCAATTTTGTCATCTCTGCAAATTCTGTCATCTTCACCAGACTTTCTGGTAATCTATTGTGGATATTTTAGAGTCTTTTCATCTTTCTGCATGTAATAATTTCACTACAGTTATCATGTACACAAAGAATCACTCATAAGTCTTTTCTAGTTGTTTGTTAGTCCCATCATGAAAAGTTCTGGTTTTAGTTAAATATTAAACTTTAAAAAATTTTACATTGTTGCACATATTTAAACCTAAAATTTTCTAGCTTTTTTTAACAATTCTACAAAGCATAATAAAATGATCTTTCCTGTTTTACACATGTCCAACATAGATTTAAAGTGCTTTTATACTGTACATTCCAGAAAGTTTTTCTAGTGTCATATGCCAATAATACATCATTTTGTAACAATTCTCTTTTAAATTATAACAATATAAATTTCAGTCCTTTCAGCCACATATTTTTCCACTAATCCATCTGTATGTTATAACCAAGATTGTTAGGTTATTTTATAATGCACTTTTAAACTTGTTCTTCCATTTCAAATTTCAGCAAACACCTATACATTTTAGCAATTACATGTTCTCTTTCAAATTCAATTGTGTTGTTCAGCTCCAAATGTTCTCGTCTACTTTAAATCTTTTTCTTGGCTGTACATATGAAAACCATTAGAAACTAAATCCTTTTGTGATCAGTGGATCTATTGACTTCATCTTTTATTCTCCATGTTTTTGTTCAAACAATTCCTGATATGTCAACCATTTCTTTTTGTCTGCTGTTTCTTTTCAATAAAATGCTTCTGGTGCTGTAATCCACAAGGCATTTTTGGGCACAGCCTGGGATAGTATCTATTCCATATTCTGACTATGACACTTCTGACATGATTTTAAAATTTTAACCTTAACCATAAAAACCCCATACCATCCAAATCTCAGGTCATGCTTTTTTAAATATATAATTGCCATGTTTCTCAGTAACTCCCATTTTTTTTCATCCAAACCAAACAGCTGGCTGCAAAACAGAATTTCAAATCACGCAGTCTCAATCTCCATAATTCCTTGCCTCTTAAAGAATTTAATCAAAACTACTGTTATTTAAAGTCATAAACTGCAACATTCTGACCTTGCCAGGAGAATGAGAGGTTGAATTTTACTAGACAGACAGACAGACAGATGTTTGAACAAAGCGATTAAAGATGTACTTGTGAGAAAGAGCAAGAAAACTGAATATATAATCTTCATAGTAGATAATGCAGAAGAAGAGAAATATTTCCAAACTGACTTTTTCATGGAAGGCATCTGAAGAACTTAAAATGAGATGATTAAAGATTAAATACTCATTTTAACAAATTAATAATTAAGAAATCACTACTGACCAAAGAACATACCTTCAAATGAATAAGTATATAATATATAACTTGTTTTTTTAAACAAAAGTAAAAGAGAATTTTTGAGGTAAGTAATGAAACATCAATTTTTAAAAAGGATAAAAGGGGTATTCAGGAAATGACACATAAACTTGCCCAATGTATGAAAAATATCAAGAAAATATAAAATGATCAAGAATATAGTGTAATGATTGGGAAACTCTCTATACTACAGCTGGCCCAGAATACAAACTAGTTGCCAGTGGGCTTCTGGTTGCAATTCAAGGCACTGGTTATTAGTAAAGCACTTCATGGCACAGGACCAAGTTATCTAACTATCTCCCATAGTTTCTGCCCATCTGTGTTGCTTTCACCCTGATTATATTCTGGAAGACGTTAAAAACTTGGCTGTTTTCCCAGGCCTTGGGGTAAGGTAGTGATGGAGACGCAGGAGACTTCCTTTTTGTTGTTATTGTTCTTAACTGGTCTTATTTGATCAAATGATTCTGGCCAGAATCGCTATTTTCTTTGCAGTCAGGCAGCCTCTAATCTCAGAATAAATATAAAATAAATGAAATGAAATACAAATATATGAAATTTCAAGATTATGCTGGCTGGGATGACACTCTTTGTAGTCCAAAAATGTCTTGTAAGGTCATATGTTCCCAATTACTGATACAAATTTTCAAGCTGTTTTCCTGGAGAAAAAAACACATGCTACTGATGATGGTACTAGGGATTCAGTATTTGACTTTATTTTGTATCATGGGTGAAATTTCTTTATGCAGGTCTTACAAACCCATGTTTAGTCTTGTCTGCAAAATTCCTAGAAAAATGGATGTAACCAGACTGACTATTTTACACTTGGGAAATCATCATATTTTCAGGGTGAGGCTGGTTCCTTTAACTTTCAAACTGTTTACCTTCATGTTTTGCTAATCTTGGAATAAACACTCATAGCTATTTTAGAAGACACAGCCTCATGAAGCATTCTTTATTTCATACACAACACACTGTGGAGGCAGTTTAAATGTGTCCTTTTTAAGAAACTGCTTTTAATGGTTAAGTAGCACTTTCCATCTTCTCCTAACACATCTTGGCAGACACTCTATGACATCTCATTCATGGTCTTGGTGATGATGCAGTCAGGGGACTAAATTTTTCAAGCAGCTATGAGGTGCAACTCATTTCAACTTGGATTGGAGGAGAGACTAGACATCAAGTTTTCACAGAAACATATGCCTTTTGATGCACAAGGTGTGTCAGGGCATTTATTAATCCCATGTTTGGCTCTGGGACTAATTACCCTGGTTTAGAGGAGATGAATCGTGGCTTATTCCAAATTGCAATAATCTGAAAAGAAACGCGAAGGAAGGTTTCTAATAAAACTCATTTATTTGTTATAAAGAAAATAAAACACCTCACTAACTAAGAAAAGTTAATTGTTACATTTTGGAAGTAATTTGGGCCAGCTGCCTTTCAGCAACCGGCACCCGTGGCAAGAGAACAAAGGAAAGAGGGTGAGAGGCAAGTGAAGGAATGTGGGTGGATGGACATGCGTAGTAGCTTTTTGATAACAATTCTTGGCAAGGTACGGAGAGTCAGATAGTCCAGAAATAATGAGCTCAGCTGGTAAATAAAATAACGCAGTGACAAGGTGTTACTTAAGCATTAACTGGATTCTGGAATGGTAGTTTTGTGGACAACCACAAAACTGTTATTAAACATTTGTTCAGTTATCTTTCAAGAGAATGGTAGATCTGTCTGTAAAAAAAGAGCAGCTGTCCATTTAAACTGAAAAAAAAACCCTTATCACTGATTCTGGAAGACCCCACTAGATATGGAGTTTATAGCTTCTAGAACAGAATACAGCTTTCTAATACAGCAATCAAACAAAATAGATTATGTTTCAGTAATGCATGAAAAGCCCAGCAATTATTACAAATAGCTATTTAGAAACAGAGGAGAAAACACTTTGACTGGTCTATTTTTCTTTTCTTTTCTTTCTTTCTTTCTTTTGTTTTATAAGTGAGAAATAATTAGGCAACATAAGAAAACAACAGGACAATGTCTGCATGTCTAATAGGCACATCTATATTCACAAAAGAAAACATACTTTAATAGAAAATAAAGTAACACAGACAAATTGTAGACGGTTAAAAAAAAGGATGCTACCATTAAGAGTTGTAACAAATAATGGATAGCAAATTATACATTCATATTAGCAACATATTAAACAGACATAATTCTGGATTTTTAGAAAAATTGACATTCCAACATTTAATCAATTCTAATAACTTTACAGGTTGCATAAATCTCTCAAGAGCAACCGCTCAGATGACTGATTATCAATGATGCTAAAAAACAGCAATTCATTTGAATATTAATTTCCCAAACCTGTTAAGGTCATTTATTTCTAAAATAGTCTTTCCTTTAAGTCTTCTTTTCCTTCATTTTCCTCTAAAAGCTGATTAAACAAGCAGAATGTTTTTTGCCCCTTTCAAATGCATTAATTCAAGCACAGACCTGGATAATTTGACCTGTGTACATTTAATACAGAAGATTCTCTCAAACATGGCCCAAAATCACTGCAGAATACAAATGTTGCTGCTGCCTAGCCAAAATAAGATTTCCCTTTGGTTCTTTTTTCCAGACTATTCCAAAGAGAACAAGAATTAAGAAAAACAATCTCTACCATACTAGGTAGGAAAAATGATACTTAAAAAATTCTGTAGTGATCTACTTCTTAACCCTTTTTGATTGTTTGGTGTACCATTTTTTGACTGGCTCAGCTGGGTCTCTGAAGTAAAAATCCTGTAGAGAGATTACCAGGGAATAGAAAGAAAATATCTAAACTTTCAACATTCCAAAAGGAAATATTATGGGGAAAAATTCTGCTATATAGTTCTCATTCAATTCAAATTCCAGTAATTAATCCCAAAGAACCAGGACTTTTTCCATTTCAAGCAATAACCAGTAATGGTCTAGTGGTTAAAGCACCAGGCTAGAAACCAGGAAGCTGAGTTGTAATCCTGCCATAGAATGAATGCTAGCTGGGTAATGTTAGTCCAGTCACTCTCTCAGTCCAACTCACCTCACAGGATTGTTGTGGGGAAAATAGGAAGAGAAAGGTATATTAGATATGTTCACTGCAGTGGTGGGTTGCTACCAGTTCTCCCCGGTTTGGGAGAGCTGGTAGTGGAAATATTCATAGGAGAGAGAACCAGTTTGCTATGAATGTCAGTTTGGCTCTGCCCCTTGCCCCTGCGCTATACCTACCTTTATTTCCTTTGTTTTTTGGTCAGCTGTAAAGCGCGGCTGAGGGAATTGCCATGCCTCAGTTGTTTTGTTTCCTAATGCGCTTGCATGAAGCGCAAGTTTGGCACGCATGCAAGCAAAGCGTGCATGCGTGCGGCGATCACGCGCAAAGCACGTGTGCGATGCGAATTGGTAGTAAAACAGATTAGAACCCACCACTGGTTCACTGCCTTGAGTAATTTACAAAAATAATAAAGGCTGAAAATGATGAAAAAAATCTAATACCCTTTCCCCCAGCTAATTCAGACAAATGAATAGATCGTTTTAAATGTTTTGTTATTTTTGGTACAGATTTCTTTCTCTACATTTTCACTTTCCTGAATGTTTACATTATTACGTCTCCACATGTGTTTCTAATTATTTGATATCGTTTAATACTCAATAAATGTAATTCTGCTCTTGATACGGTGTACTGATTTTCTCTCTATTCCCTTGAAGAATACTTTGTAATACTGGTTTAGGTTATTTAAAGATGCTCAAACCAGGTCACTAAGTTTTGTCAAACATTTCCAGGGGTATGGACTGTTCAAAGATACTGACAGCTATCTCAAATTTCACATATTATCTTATTTTTTTTAGGGTAAGATGGAACCCACTAACAGGAAACAAAATTTAACAATTTTTATAATCCTTCCTTTTTTATTAATATCCTTTTATTGGAATTCTTTTCACTTTTCTTAAGTATCCTTAAACCTCAATTTGTCCAAAGTCTATCTTCCTAAGAGCCTGATCAAACTGCTAATAGCTGCAGATAGGCTCCTATAATAATTGGGTGATGATGTTAATTCAAGATCTTCATTTGCTAGTTATGACTTATAAAGTTTAATTTAATCATTCAATTATCTTTGTTCAGTATGAGTTAAATGATTCTCTATAAGAATTTATTTTCTGATTTTCCTCTAACAAAGTATTTACATGTAGCTACTTACTAAATTTCACCTTTTTTGCATGGTCAAAGGTCTATTAAAACACATACCTTAGAACACTATTCCAAGGTTATAGATATATAGATACAAATACAAATAGATATAGATATAGATACATAGAATTGTCTCACCATTTATTCAAGAATATACGGTATATCAATTATTTTTTTCTATATGAGCATTAATGTTTACTACACTGAGGTTCTTTACTGGTTCTTTACTAACAAGCATAAGAGAGCAAATAAGATTTGCTGCAGAACAATCATATTAAGAGCTACACACATTGCAGGTACAATGACATTATTTGGTTCTAAAGATAAAAATCACTGGTCATGACATTGGAAGAACAGCCTTCATGGGTCAGAAGATATATATATATATATACACTAGTTAAATATAATAATGTTTTACACAAATGTAAAGCTTCAGAAGCTTTTCGAAAATGCTCATGCAAAACACCAAAGCCCTCACCATTATACACAGCAGCTTGTGTTCAGAGGCCCACTCAAACAGATAGTTCATACGGATTCCATAACTAGCAGCTATGTATCTTCTACAAATCTGGTTAATTCTCTCTTGAAGTTAATACTGTTAGGTACTAGGTCTATAGTAACTTGTGGTAATTAATTCCATCAAGTAAATATGAGTAACTTGTATAAAAATTTGGAATTTAATTCATTTGCTGGCCTGGGATGTTGGATTTGAGGTCCATTCCCTAGTGCACTGAGGGATATCTCCTCTCTTCTTGCAGGGAGTGGAAGTCCTTCCCCAGCCTAGAAAAACAGACCTCAAATCTAGCTAAAACCCTAGTGAAGGACAGCACTCTGAGCCTTTTAGAATGATGTGTTCACTAGCATTTTCTCTCCAAACATCAGTTTTCTGAAAGGTTCGGAACACTGGCCTTCACTATCATTTTTCATTTCACCTCTGGAGAGGAGGAGAAATTACTAATAAAGACTAAGGCTCTGAGACTTCCAAAATGATAGCATTCACTAGCATTTTTTCCAGATGTGATGTCCATCCCTGCAATGCATGAAGGGATTTCTCCTCCAGAGGGAAAATTCCTTAGTACACTGGAGGCATGGATATCAAATATGGTAAAAGGCTAGTGAATGCCATCGTTTTTGCAACTGTTCTCCCAAGTGGGATAGGGTGAGGGCCTGAATCCTTTTGTCTGCCATACCATGCTCTGGAGTCCCGAGCCTTTGTTCTGGTACTCTGTTTAACAATCACACCTGGGAAAGTCAGGATTGTGGTTGCTGAGTGAAGGAATCACATGGTGTCTCTCTTACTGACTGTGATTCTGATCTCAATTGTGGCCATAAGTGAAGGGCACCTGCACTAAGCATGCTAATTATACACCTTAGCCCTTAAAATAAAAATTCCCTTAACTCATAAGACAGTTCTCTAGCTCCAATTCTCACTGTTTTTTTTTAATGTAGAACACAAACTTTATAAACACTTAAATTCTATGTTGAAGAGTCATCTAAAAGTATCACAACACCAGAAATTTTATTTCACTATATGAAGCAATCTTTCCAATCCCTAATTAAGCCCTGTACATTGAAGACAGAAAGGGAAATATCTAGATATTTGTAACTTTCCTGCATGTCTCTGATTGGACCTATTCATTATTAAGCATAGTTGTTAGATATTAGATATTTTTTAAAGTTTATGCCTTACTTTCTAACATGTTGAAAATAAAATACTAGGTAAGATAAAACCTCCAGATTCATCAGGGATTTTTGAATTCTGATTCAACTTTGAGTATCAGAAAAGAAATGGTAAAAAAAATGCCAGTAAGCACTTATGTTCTTTCCTCTCAAATATGAATTCCATTCTATTAAAGCAGAGTAAACAAATAATAGTTATTTTCCTGAGCCACCACAAATTGTAACTCTTAAAAATCAATGACAGAATTTTTTGCTTATATTAGGCAAAAGCATAAACCAAAAAGCTGCATGTGAAAATCATGAAACAAAGTTAAACACAGAAATAACAATTTCTTCTCTTAAAATCCAGAAAAATACACACAAACAAAAATCTTGGCCAAATGATAGTTTGACAGAATGTCATCCACTAGGGACTTCTTGCCTTCAAAATAGTAAGTGAGGTCTTTTAGTGTAGCCCACTTCTTGTTTCATCTTGTTCTTTAGCACAATTTCATGGGAATTTTTTTTCTAAATATGCTTGTATCAATTATATATGCCACTGATAGGGTAACTATTTTTCACCATGATTGCCTGTGCCAAATAACATCATAAAACTAGATCATTATATTAAATATAATTTGACACAAGCTATACAGGTAATCAGTTACATCACTTAAACATATAAGGGCTATTTTAATCATATTTAAGAAACATCAGGAACAGGCACAACCTTTCCCTGCCTCTTATTTAGTTGATTTTGTTTCTTGAAGCATAAAAACTTTTCAGAAACTATCAAGAGTCCTCCTATTCTTCCCAGCTCCCCCACCCCAAACATCTTGTAGTTTTATGTACTGTTGCAAGTTCATAACTGGAATCTGGAAGTAGATTGAAATTTGAGACTATCAGTCTCAACAATTTTTCACACCATTCTTAAAACTTTATTGAGAGAGAAAAAAAATGATTTGTATTCTAGAAATCTCTTGCATAATAAAACAGTTTTATTTAGTGGAATAGATTCACTGAAATAAAGCAAAACCAGAATGAGACTGAATTAAAGGCGGGCCAGGGAAACTGAAAATGACTTGGTGCATGTGCTAGAATCCTACTACCTCACTCACCCCCCCCATCCCCATTTTTGGTATATATTATTCATTCAAGGAACACTGAAAAACAAGGTTTGGAGGCTTTATCAATTTCTCCCAAACTTAACCATGTAGATAATATTGCTTGATTCTAACACTAAAATAATATGTATACTGTGGTTCATTTTCATGCTTTACAGTCTTAATTTTCACATTTTATTTCCCTATGCAGCAAATTTGCAAAAAAAGCACCTTCCCTGGTTTAAAAATTGCACTTCCCCATGATACAACTTTTTGATAAGCTTGATTTTAAAGCTAAGCCAATCTTATTAACTATGATAATTTTATAGTCTTTCAAAATAAAACAGTAAGGAAACTACTTCAGTGTTTAAGCAGTAAATGTTTTGCTGGTAACAGCTGAAAAACATATCAAAAGTCATTCAACTACCATTCCCCCCAATACAAAGTGACTTGACTGACAAGATTGACATCAGGGAACTCATCTCTGAACGAATAGGCCAATAGCTGAATGGCAGAATCCTCCGTTACCACTGCCTGAATGTCAGATAACACAAAGAAAATGTTACAAAGGTCAAAGCATGGAGATGGTTCTTTATAGCTGAAAGTATAACTCGTTAGTATGGAAAACAATGAAAAAGGCCACAAAGCCCAAAATTAGCATCTCTTTTATCAACTGCTAAAAAAAATTATAGGAATGAGAAAAG